TACCTAACCGCGTGTTTTCTGCTATTTACTCCAAGATTTGAAAATCTAGTACATCTACAATAAATACACTGAACAAATACTCACATTAGATTATATATATATATATATTACAGGAAGCTGATTTTAAACTAAAATGATTACTTATGGTAATCCCGAAGGAATTAAGAAACATTTGCCTCGATCAGATAAGATTAAGCAACTCTAAATTATACGGAGAGTTGTTCATGATCTGTGATACAGGTGTGCATAAGCAATCGTTTTGTCTCTGGCTGTACTTGTGACCTGTGATTACACAGGCTAATAGCCCTGTACCTCTTGTTGCAATTCAGTTGAAATGTCGTGATTTGTAAGTGCAGATGATGTCTAAAACCGATTCCTTCTGAGAGGATTAAATTACAGGACTTTTCGAAGAGAAGTCATATTAAGCGATTACAAGGGTAGGTGAGAAAATAAAATTTCATTTCGAAAAAAAAGGAGGGGTGAGGGATGACTGCTTGTTGACGAACCGTATAGGTAAAGCAAAGGAGGGCATGATTCCAGCAGAACACACACAAAAAACAACAACAAACAAACAAAAACAAGCTGCTACTACTACAAGAACAACAAGTTGCTAACCCCAAGAACACAGTGATCCATTTCAGGTGAAGTAGGATAGGAACTATACACATACGTAGACAATTCATATGAATTTGCAGTTACAAATGTAACATAACAGCCATAACAAGCTTTTCCAACGCACAGAGCCAAAAGCTGTACCTACTGTGTTTGGCATCTGACAAATGGAAGTATGCATTATACTGGACGAAGCTTATGTCTACTTAAGTGTCAACAAACGCTGGGGAAGTTTATTAACCTTACGCTGTTGATACAACATTTCAAAAGAACACTGAATATGTCACGAATGTTTTTCTACGGGATTTATGGTGGTTGGAAATTAGAGCTATAATGGTACATTAAACATGCAGAAAGTATAGAAAATTGCCAAAATGAATTATGCACACTATCAGACGAGCGTGCCGATATTCGTGCGAAGCTACATAGGTTTTCTGCGCTAACTAACTCCGAGTTTGAACTGATCGTCTAGAGGGAAAGTAGCTGAATAACAGCACCCACAAAAAAAAAAAAACTCTTTGGTTACTCTAATCTAATAATAGGATTTAGCCGTTACTCTTATAACGCACCAGCGACCTCGAAATTCGGAGCGAACCACTAATCCTCAGGAACATTGTTCAGCACGCTAAGTAATCGGACACGCTCAGCCTTCACTGCTAGACTGAACCATGAATGAACAATTTAGCTAGAACTGATAGTTCTTAAAGATACGAAATATACAAAAGAAATTACCATACAATACTGCATTTCTAAAAAAATAATTATATGTGACGTAAGGAGATGTTCGATGATCATATTTTTTTGTTATGCCATTCATTACGCCAACGCGCAAAGGATTAAATTTTTGTTTTTCTAATATAAGATTGCCAACAGAAAATTACCTAAGTAGTTCTACAAAAGAAGAATGACTGTTTTGTCTTGTTTTATTATTCTGAGAAATTAGTACAATTTTTTTACTCGTACTATCAAACCTGCTGTACTACGGTAATCAAGAGTAAGTTGACAACAGACTGAAGAACAACTAATAGCTCTTGTGTATTGCAAGGGCGGAAATGACTAAAACATTTCTTTAATTATTTTGTTTTAATTAAAACAGAGTTTACTAAGTTATTTTTCTTTTAATATATCGGTCGTTCAGAAGAATACGTTGTTTTAATACATGGTGATTCGTTATAAAAACAAGTTTAATTCAAGTTTCTTTTATTATAAACTTCAATAATTATTGTGTTATTGTTAAATAGCTCGAAATTCGTTGTATGAGTTTTTAAAGACGTACTTCAATCTACAATTGTCCGTGTTCTGTCCATTTGTCACTACTGCTCTTACAAAACATTAGTGGTACCACCTAGCGGCTCTAGTAACATGGGATTTTAAATAACGAAGTAGCCTGTGTACACTAAAAGACCTGTCTACAACTGAACCAATATTTCAAAAGTTAATAATGACACCGTTCTTCGTCATAAACGAAAAGCAACTGCGCCACAAAAAAACCAACAACAACAAACAAACTGAACATCGGGTTCGTCACCGGAAATCAGCTCTTAATGTATTAAAAGGTGGGAGTGGAAGTAAGTAATTTACTGCGTTCAAATTTTAAGAATAATTTTAAGATAATTTCAGTAGAAACCTACTCCTCTGCACTGTAATAACTAGAATTCTTTAATTAAAACCGAGAACCGCATATAACAATATTAGCAAACAACAAACCAGCAAGACGGTAAACATTTATGATGATATCATGAAAGATACGTCATATACCTAGATAAAAATTGTTGTTGCTAAACAGGTTAGGGTTACTGCCAGATTGCCATGCATCTTCTGCCAAAAACGAGCTTTTTCTTGCATTAAAGAATGTTCCTTACTTATAATATTATACTACAGAATTATAAAGATCTTGCATGGATTTTTAGGTCATTAAAGGTTACACACACACATACACATCGAGCTCACGAGGTCTGTTACATTTAATAATCCATTCAAACACTGGGAAGAATGATAACATATACAGCGTACATCAGGTTGACTGATAATATGTAAACAAATCAACGTGAGGGATCTCAATTTAGGCTTAACAAATGTTCTAACAGAAGTTTTAGACTCTGTGAGACGCACTCTCTGGTTTGTTGGCTTTGTCATAACATTAACCAGTGGTTTTTGTTGTTTAATAAGGAAGAGTGTTAGATACAAATCATTCATTGACACAAAATAATAATAATAATGCACATCAACCAAAAAACAACATTCATTAAAGGAGTGTAAGAAGATCCGTATCCGTTTGTGTGTGTGTGTGTGTGTTCGAACAAGTTCGTCCACAACCTAAATTCACGACTTAAAGGGATAAAAAATAAAACAAAGAATTCCACTGGCGGCGTCTTGTCGGAGTTGCATGACTAAATGTACCCCCCTACTCTCCATAATCTTACTTGAATTTACAGATATAGAAACTTAAAAGGAAAGAAGCGTCTATGCGACGGGCTACATTACCAGGCAGACTCCCAGCCGCCAGGGGTCGCGATGTTACTACAAAAGAAAAAAAAAAAAAAGGAAGGAGATAAGCGTATCACTGAATAGTCAATAGCAGTAAAGGCATTTACGTCGCTGAATCAAGCAATAATACAGAATTTTGTGAAACGTTTATATTAATCCCCGTTACAATGTTCGTCCAAAAATGACAGAAATTCGTAACAATAGCTCTACTTCTACCTAACAAAAATAATATGAAAATAAACATAAAAATCCTTGAAAAGGTCACGAAGTCAACTGCTATACAGTATACAAGCAGTGAACAAAATAAACTTTCCTTGTCAGCAACAAATCATATAAAAGGAATATCGAGTTTTGTCCCCGAACTAATAGGTGGCTGACAAGAACGATGACTCACTGATTTAACTTCAAATCTGATCAAATTATAAGTCGGCCAAATCCCAATTACAGTATTACCGAACAAAACT